TGCAGATGCGTTGCCAGCCCTGTGGACTGAGATGGAATGCCTCGTTTGCAGTAACAAGGGTCTCCGGTTCTCTACACTCACCATACGATACACAGGACCGTTAAGCTGCTATTTTACGCTGATATTCTTGTGTGAGCGTGGTCCTTCGCCCAGTCGTGTCGAGCCATTTGTGCTACAACCATAATATAGCTGCGGCGCGGCTCTACCACGTAAAATAATATTTTTTTATATATATTAAATATATAGTATTATCATCTGTCACCTGTCCGTCTATCATCATCATTATTATCGTTTTAGCTGCATGAATTTAAGAACATAATGATCTTAACAGAGAATAGCCAAATACGCAGATATTAAAGTTAACCAAGTGTCTGAGGATACGTGTGCACTCTTTATTCTCTCAACCTTGTTATATGTATGTTAAGAAAATGGTCTCCCATCCACAACTGAGCGCGGTGTGCAAGTGCAGCTTAATCTGGCAGATCTATTGATCCGCGCAACTATTACTTAAACACGAGCTCTTCTTTTCTGCGACTAGCGCTGTAGGCGCAAGCTAACACACTGTCGTCGGCTATCAAGCATGAATCGGGTAACGATCGTTGTGATTATAAAATACTATGGAGTTTACACTATCCTGGCACACTGAACCACGCGTCTCATGCGCAGGCGTCTCGCGGCACTTCAGGAACATTATTAAATATCTATACCTAACTAAGCTAAGTTTTATCATTGTGACCTGATAATGTAATCCAAAGCTCCGCTCAACCTCTTGGGGAAAATAGCGTGATACTATGAATATTGTACTTGTGTGACCCGTGAGTAGCGGATGATTAAGTAAGGTTATGCATTTTTTACGGTTGATAAATAGATACTCGATACTTAGTTGGGTTCATAATGGCTTAATTAGTTTTATAATGTATCGAAATCTATCTCTATTTTTATCAAAAGATTTTTAAATTAAATTTTTGAAGTCTTATTATAACAGTATACTTACTGGTACAAATAATGTGGAAGTGGCTCCTTTTGAAGAAATTGTTTTGTTTTAATTTTTCTTTTATAGGTACTTCTCAAGAATATGTTTGTTGCAAATTTTAGAATTCGTCTTTGGATTTCAACCAACCCGCCCAATAAACTTAACCATTTCTTTTCTAATTATAAAATCCGGAGGGAATCTGTTTGACAAACGGCAAAATAAATTCACATTTTAGAATGCTAACCGAGCATTTATTTTCATTCCATTGAGTGGGAATAAATATAAATAATAATAATAAGTCTATCGATTATAAACATTCAAGATAAATATCGACATTAATTTTAATACACTTGAGTCAATCCCTAGCGCATATGTAAAATATTTTGTATAAAATGTATTTTCCAAATTCATGCAAATTATCAACAACGTGACTATTTCTTTGCAAAATATCAAAATTAACAAAATAATTGCAAACATTCTATATTTTAAACCGTATAAAACATAAATTTTAATAAAAAATAGACGGGTCTTATTATTGACGACTTCTTGAGAATTTACCTGTGAAATGTGTAATTATCAAGATTATTTCCCTTATTATAATTACCACAGTCACTCACAGAACATGTAACCATTTTGGAAAACTATGAATTACAAAAATGTACACTATAATAATCTATAAAATTACAAAATATCTAGGAGCTTATTTCTAGCGTGCCGACTTGTGCCGACCAGTCATTCAAAATCGGTTACAAGGTCATGAGATTTTATATCCTTTTCTATTTTGCTATATTGCCATAAGGAACTTTCTTCTCACTTGCACACTACGTCCGTCTATTACTATCCTAAGTCTATGCGGGTGAGAGATGAGAGACTAACTTTCAGTTTATACAAAGCACAGAGTACTTTTTTATATATAGGAAATACAAAGGTACTCTGTGAGACTGACCAATGACAAGTTACCGTTTAGTGACGTCAAAAAAGTGTACCAAATACGATACGATTTATCGATATTTACTGTGGCTATAGGTTACAAACGGTATTACATCAAACCTTCAAACTTTTTCATACGTAGTATTAATACCGTAACAAGTATGTCTCATATTAACCCTATACTTCTCTACTTTTTCTATACTTGTAACAATGTTAATTGTAACATCTGTTATAATTAATATTGTTACAAGTATATAATATTGCAGATTAGATTTCCGTAATATTGCTTTTTTCATAAAAACATTTGTACATAACAGTAATGATAAGTGGTATATTTTTTGTATTATTTTCGTAAAGTCGTAAGTGATAGTTTAGTTAGAAGTAAATCACACACTTTTCTAAACCATCGTTAAAGATAATGATCATGATGAAATAATTAGGTTTTGTCCACTTCATTATTCTAACTACATATGTAAAATCGAGTATGACCTCATTCATTAGATATAGTAGGTATTTTTTAAATTATACTTTTAGGGAAGAAAAATGAAGGAATGGTGATTGACTATTTTTATTGTATTTTTTTTCGAACTTGCATTTTATTCGAAATAAATTCAAAATGTGATTAAGTTTTTTTTTATAAACGTTACGTTACTTGGATTTTCTCCTATATCGTGGAGGCAGTTCACATATATAAATTGTACAAGGACGAACATCCAGACCCGGAACAATTACTTGTAGGCCTTACAAATACTTGTTCCGCGCGGGATTCGAACCCCTATAACTTCAAAAAAAAAATCAAAAGATCCATTGTAATCGATTGGGCATCCCTAATCATTTTCGACACCACAATCCACATGATGTTTGGCGAATGTCGCCTCTACACGTTGGCCAATACAGTGGCGAATGTAGTGGCGAATATATTGGCCGAGAGTTGGTGACGGCGTCCACACGTTGGAAGGTCGTTCATTTTACTTCGGTTCGGGCCAATGTGCGGACGAATTTATAATCACCATGGCGCAGGGGCTCAGCAATGAGTGGCTGCACCGGGCGCCGCGGGTTTGATCCCGCACGGAACAAGTATTTGTATGTCCTAAAATAATTGTTTCGGGTCTGGATGTGTGTCCTTGTGCAATTTATGTTTGTAAACTGCCTGCGCGATACGGGAGAAAATCCTAGTGTGGGGTTAACGTTTTTATAAAAGAATTATAAAATAATAGTGGATATTAATGGGGTTGTAAATAGATATACGATATACGATTAGCTTTATTTATTCTTTACATGCATCATAAACTGGAATAAAGTAAAGTAAAATTACAGCCTATATACGTCCCACTGCTGGGCACAGGCCTCCCCCTCATTTCTGAGAGGGTTTTAGGGCAAGGAAGTGTCCGCCGCGGTGCCCCAATGCTTATTGGCGAACTTCACATGTCTTCGAATTTTTTTTTCTTATTCCTCAGACATGCAGGTTTCCTCACGATGTTTTCCTTCACCGCCGAGCACGTGGTAAATCAGCACTTAAAATTGCAATTAACAATTTCATTGGTGCCGGCGGGGATCGAACCCGGGTTACTCGCGTTCTGTTATATTTACAGCGAGCGTTAACCACTGAGCTACCACGGCTCTTAAACTGGAACTGGAAGTAATAATAAATGAAAAAATAATACTAAACTGGAATAAATACCATTAATAAGAACTTAACTTATTTTAAAGTTAAAGGAGTTATAATCGATTAGTCTATGTTTTAAAATTGGGTTTTGATTTTAAAGTTTAGCAAAATATGTACTTGCATTTCTATCAGACATTTGATGTATTAAAACACCTTATAATTTATTTGGTAATTTAATTATTTTTTGAGAAAGACAAAAACAATAGCAATAAATATAATTAGCACTGACTTAATAATAGGTACTAATTATAACTTAGAACATAAATGAAAAACTCATGACGAGCAAAGTGGCTCAGGACCAGGCTTTGCGGCAGTCTGTGGAGGAAGATGTTCAGTAGTGGACTTGTGAAGAGCTGTAATGATGATGATGATTCGAAAACTTGCACGATTAAATTATAAGAAATCGACGCTTTTTTATATAGGATAGGGTGACAAACGAGCACACAGTTCACCTGATGGTAAGTGGTTGCTGTGGCCCACAGACATCTACATCTATCTTCGATTACGAATCAAAATGCAGATGCGTTGTCACCCGTGAGGACTAAGATGGAATGCTTCGTTTCCAGTAAAAAGGGTCTCCGGTTCTCTACACTCACCATACGAAACACAGCAGCATTAAGCTGCTATTTCACGCTGGTATTCTGTGAGAGCGTGGTCCTTCCCCGGTCGAACCGACCCATTCGTGCTACAACTATACTTCTAATATAACTGCATGGTTCTACCACGATAAACGACTGCTATTTAAATAAAAAAAAATTTTTTTAGAAAAAATTAAATCGCGCGAATTAAAGTAGTAGGAATGTTTAAAGTGGAAATTGGCACTAAAAGGCTGGTAATTGGGTCATCCACCCTACAAAGCGTGAATATAAAATTTTAATCAGATACGTGTAATCACTCTGGGAGCTCGTAGCAAACTAAACTTGCCAACGTGTGGAGGCGGCGACCAAACTCTGCCAACAATCCTTTGATCTTTTGTAAAAAACCGACACCACACGGATCTCGCGCCAACTTGCGGGCCAGCGTTCCAATACATACCAATGAAGCCCAAACACCCCGTCTACATACCTACGTCAACACGTTCGCCAATGCTATTGGCCACTACATTCGCCACTGTGTTGGCCAACGTGTAGAGGCGCCGGAAGATGGCGGCGATTAATATAGTCGAATAGAATACTTTTTTACATTTTGGCATGCAGCTAGTCTCCGTTATAAAAGTATTTGCAACAAATATAATAAAATAGATAATTAATTATCGTGTATGTCCGATGCTTTTACTGCATAGGGCGATTTTGGAAATTGTCTTGTAATAAATTACAGTAGAATTTCAAACACTTGTAAATATTTTAATGGAACAAAAACAAAAATTTAAAACAAAATTATAATAAATAATAATTTAATTACATACTAATTTACATTCTACAACATCAACTATCACCACCCATAAGCGTAATGGAATCCATGACCAGCTCCATGGCCACCGTAAAACCATCCCGCACCATACCCTCCGAGGGGATTCCTGTAATTATTAACCGATTCGTCATCACCATTACTACGTTCAGAAACTTTAAAAGCGATGTTCGAGTTCTTGTGTACAGCGTGTAACGGTATAACAGTCAGGTCGTGCACTGGCACGTACTGATTGATGTGGACGGGGAAGTGCAAGTTAGAAACGTAAAGTTGGTGCGGGTAGTTTCGGTCGTATATCGATATGGGTAGATTTCGTCCTTTCTTTGTTTCCGTTTTTACTGTTTCTATACCAATGTGTATGGGTACAATTGGAACCATCTTCTGAATTTCATGTTTGATCGTTTGTGTATTCACATGGTTCAGTTCACCAAGCGAGCGCTTTTCAAGATGAGGTATACTCATCACTCCATAATATGTTGCAATTAAGATTAAAAGTATTCTGGAGCTCAGCATCTGCAATGTTGAAATAAGAATGTTAATTAAAATAATCCAAAGCTTTTTGTAATACGAGGGGAAACAACAAGACGTAGGTATTCTGACATATCTGCCATTTACCGGGTAGCGGTGTAAAAGTACCCAATACCCATTGGCTGTGGGTGTCGTAAGGTAACAGGAACAAACTGTAAGATAAGAAAGTAATAAGGAAACATTTATTGGAACGTGAACGCAGACATTATTAGATACCTACATTTTAACATTTGTAGATACATGAATTAATAGAACTATAAAACTATAATTTATAAATAAAACATCAATTTGACGGATATAATATTTAAAAAAGTATGTTTTTAGACAAATTACAGTTTAATACGTTCCTTATGTTAAGTGTTGTGCCGCGTTAGGCAAATGGACCTCATCAGCTTATGATATCGCAGAAACAACGGCGTTCAACAATAAGTAGTTCCTAATAACAACTAAATATAAAAATTTACGAAAATTAAACAACTTAAAAAGGTAGCGTATTTATTTTACCAAACGTGGCAACTGTGGCAAATATCGTCTCAATGAGGCAATCTATGGGGAGGCCTATGTTCAGGAGCGAACTTTTGATAGGCTGTTACGGTAACGATAACAGACTATGACAAACGCCAAAATATATTTTTGGCCGCATTGAACTAACAGACTAACAAAGACGGTAAAAAAGAAATATATATCCATTGAATTAAACTAATTTAATGATATTATAGCGTTCATCGTAACCCCGTGTACTAAATGAATGAAAATGCAAAGAGACATTTTAAAACTTTGAATTATAGATTTTTTTTGAATAAGTGTGACAAAAGATCACATAGTTCACCTGATGGTGAATGCAGTGAAAACGGTTCACTACACTCATCTCATCCGAGGTAAGCGTGACATCGGGACGTCAAACACCGCAGTACTCCCATAGGTGCTGTAAAGCACCTGAAACGTCGGGATTAAAAAATAAGTTAGATTAGACGCGATAAAATCCGTAATATTAGTTTCACTCGATGTCAAGTTTTCGTGTACATAATACATACATAAACACTCACGCCTGTCACCAGGGGTCACCGACTTCCATTTAGCACGATCCTGAATACCTTTCTCGCCTCTTCCACATCCATATACCTACGCATTTTCGTGTAAATATAAGAAATCATAATATTTATGTAATTAAATTTATTATATCTGTAAAAAGTTAGATTCTAACCTGAAACTTGCGACGAAGCATATACGCTGCATTAACGCTGGTCATTAAACAACGTGGTCCATTGGGTCCAACAACTAGTTATAATGACTACAGCGCGTAGAGGACAACTCTGAACCGTGTTATTGAATCGCTGGGGGCGTTTTAGTAATAATTTCAAACTAACTATCCTTTTATTACTTTAGTGTGGAACTGGAGGCTAGAGGATGAGTTTTGAATGTTGAACATATCGTTTTCATTAATATACATCAAAACTCTTCAATAGGCAATTTAGGATTTTAATGGAAACTACTTAAAACTTTTTTTTGAACATTAAGACCTTAGACATTACATTAACATGCACACACAGCGGTACAAGGTATTTTACGGCATACATAGTAAGAGAATACGTAAAAGAGGGGTGAGAATAGGGGCACCTATCCTGAAGTACTCCTGGGTAGAAAGGTACTCCTTCCACCCAAGGAACGTGACAGTAATATGGTCACCTTTAGCTTTGCCGTGCTATAAAACTAAAACTAGGAGGAGGACAAAGACAAAAACACAAAGTCGTATACTATACTAAATTGTTCAGACTAATTCCAGCCGCATAGTTTCACCATCGCACATCGCGAAAAAACTCGCGATACCATCCATACCATCTGGATGACTGGCGGTCCACCACTAAGCGATTTAAAAGAAGTTTTCTTCATCGCACAACTTCCTTGTGGAATCAACTACCACCAGAGATTTTTCCGGACCGATACGACTTAGGGACCTTCAATAAAAGAGCCTGTTCCTTTTTAAAAGGCCGGCAACGCATCTGCAATCCCCTTGGTGTTACAGTTGCTCATGGGCGACGGTAATCACTTACCATCAGGTGAGCCGTATGCTCGTTTACCCACTCTCCCTTAAAAAAGAACTAATATATTAAGAAAAGAATAGCGAAAAAGCTCTGGCAATAATTAGGCACACTTCGAAAAATGAACCTAAAAAACGAACGACACTACACAATACTAAAATTGACTAAAATATTTACTTAAATGTCAACTGTCATCTATTCAAACAAGGCTGAAGTTTTTGAGTTATAAGAAAGTGACCATATTAACCGAATGCACCTACATCATAGTAGTAGTGTGGATATTACTTGTGTAAAAGAAATATTGTTTCGCTAATATTTATGTTGCTACAGTCCCTTGAGCGGTGCCAAGTTGACTGTCGGTGTATTGAAGTGCTGAAGTGTTTGTACAGTACGGCTAAAATGGCTATCCGTGGACAGAACTGGAGTACGAAACCTATCCAACTGCGGAGAGGTGTAATGGGTGATGTTATATCCCCGAAACTCTTCACTGCTGTATTGGAAACGTTTTTAAGCTACTGGACTGGAAAGGATACGGTATTACCACCAATTGCGAGTGCATCACTCGATATCAGATATAGTCCTTATGGCAGAATCGTTTTAGAACCTAAGCACTATGCTAAATGATGTCAATGTTTTCTGATTGCCACTTCAGCTTACTATTCCATAGGGCTATGTTGGTCGTATGAGTGGAGAAGTCAATCGATAGAATCAACTCGGCTGGGCAGCGTTCGGAAATTACGACACATCTTCTCATCCGGTATACCTTGAAACCTGAAAACGAGATTGTACAACTAGTGCGTGTTGCCATGATGACTTATATATCTGAGACGAGGTCCTACACTGCTGGCTGTATGAGGACGCTCAAGGTCGTTCAGCATAGATCAACTAAGAAATAAGGATATCCGTAGTAGAATCAGAGTGATTGACATAGCCCAATGGATTAGTAAGCTGAAGTGGCAATCGGCCGGCCATATAGCTCGAAGAACCGACAACCGATGGGGAAAAAAGGTTCTGGAGTAGCAGCCTCGTACCGGTAGGCAAAGTGTAGGGTGACCCGCCGCTAGATGGAGTGACTACCTGGTAATACATGCAGGAAGTCGATGGATGCAGGTGGTTCAGGACCGTGCTTTGTGGCATTACTTGGCGGAGGTCTATGTTCAGCAATGGACTTGTTAAGTGCTATAACCATGATAAGGATGAATAATTGTATATTTATATTATGAATTTTTTATTTGACGGCTCCGTGGTGCAGTGGCAGAGCAATGAGTTGCGGCGCTGAGGTCCGCGGGTTCGAATCCCGCACGGAACAAGTATTTGTGTGGTATACAAACAATTGTCTATAAATAATAAACTGCCACCACGATGCACGAGAAAATCGTGGTGTTCCCTACACTTAACATTTTGTTAAAAAGATTACAAGTAATATACGAATACATATGTATTTACTTACAATATTATGTATAAATACATATATTCTACTCCGATATCCACCCCTCTTTCTTAGCCTTCTTACCTTCTTATATGTAGCAGTTTTTTATTGCCTAACACGAAAAGGACATTTTCTAAAAATAAATCCTAGCTCGACATTTATTGCCCCCAACTCCCTAACAATTTTATAAAATCGTTGGAGCTTTCCGATCCCGAAAAAAAAAAAAAAAAAAAAAAAAATTGCTCGAAGAAAATACATATAATGTGTATTCATGTAAGTTTGTATTCTTTTTGTTTTCAATTGCTGCATCTGGGTTGACTGGTAGAGGAGAATGACTTTAGGTATTAAGTCCGCCCTTTGTATCGTTTTTAAGGGAATGCAATGAAGATTTTAAAATAAAAAATAGATATGCAAAAGCTTGAAAAGGCGTTGTAATACAGGCGCGACACTTCGTCAGCTCGTGTGGGGTTTAATAAGGCCCGGTATTGTTAGCCAGATAACGATGTGACCGGCGTTCGCTTAATTTGGTGCATACTGTATATATGTACAGGTGGATTTATGATGTCACCAATTAATTATGGTATCTATATTTATCACAAGAAAAATATAGGACTATCTCTATGTTTCAATGTTCCGTGTAAAATTAGCAAGTTCAGTAGCAACGCTTTCAAAGAAAGAGAGAGAGAGAGAGAGAGAGTCTAAATATTCTTTTAGGCTATAGAAACAATTTTCCAATAACCATTTCGTTAAATTATTTTCGAAAGATGCTCCTTCTTTTTCTTTTTAATTCATGGGTATATGTTATATAACAATATGCTCATGTTACATCTCTTATACATTCATTTACTTCTTAAACCGTATCTTCGTTTTAATACTAATTTTCCTTACTGTTATTACAGTGGACAAAAAGTGGTGTACACCACCATGGTCTAAAACCTTTATATTATTATTGTAGTATTAGTAAATTTACCGATAAAATCCGTAAAAGTAGTTTTAATCAATGCTTATACTGAAATTAAAATAATAAATTCAGATTTTTCCTCATGCACATACTTACGTAAAAACTGGTGACAGATAAAAATTTGCCTAAAAATTGTAAAGGCTTAAAATTCTAAGTTACGATTTATGGGCTTTATTTGAAGAAATTAAATGAGGTCATCTTGGAAAGGTGTGTGAGTGGTGAATTAATTAACAGCTTTTTGAAGTACCGTTTTAAAAATGTACATTAATTGTTTTATTAGGTTAATCACATTTAACATTTTTTCGAAATTCACATGAACACATAATAAGAAATAATATCCAAAATAAAAATGGTTTAAGGTAAATTTGCGTATAATATAGGAATACATAGATGTTTATTTACAATTTTATATCATAATATATTTTGTTACGTATGTTGTGTATTCATTTAAGTTTCTATTTTTTGCAATTGCTGCATCGACGTCAAATTCTCATTACTCGTACTCTATGGGTTGACTTGTAGAGAATAATAACTTTAGTCTGCCCTTTGTATTCTT